CATCACCGCCAGGACTAAAAAGAACAATGAGATACGTGATACCGAATAATGGTATGAGTACAAGCAGAGCTTTTGATGCTTTGCGATATTGACGCGTCTCCAGAGTATTGGCCGAGCGCAACTTTGTGATGAGCACCTGAAATGATGAGTGATGTTGAGGTAATGTCAATAACATCACGTATGTATATGGATTTACATAAATACGAAGGCCAAAAAAAATAATGCTTTCCAATTAAATACTTAGTTGATTACAGATTTATGTACTTACCCACATGATGCGTATGAGAAATATTAAATTGAGTATTAATACTAGACAGGTTGGTCCTTGAAATATCCAATCTATGTGAGATTCTCGAAGCCACGAGCATTGGATAAATAACTGAAAATAAATTCGTATGCATTAGAGATGCTGATATTTATGTATAGACTAAAAGTAAGTACAGCTGCGGTCAATGAATTAGCGTCGAAATTCAAAATGACAATGTTTGCAATTTATTTGTATTTGCTTTTAATAATTTTCATTTAAAATGCAATGCAAACAGAAACCACATACATAAATAAAAGTTTACACGAATCTCAAAAAAAAAAAATTCATAATAAATTAAAATTTTTTAATCAGAATCTTTAGAAAAATTTCGGATATGCAGTTTTGTAGCTCATTACATTTTATACCAACAAAGTGCAAGTTAAAGGAAGTAAAAATTGTGATTGATTTTTTAGATTTTTTTGTGGAGGCGCATTTTCTTCCATATGACGCATTAACAAAACATCCTAAAAAATCTACGGTAACATTTAGGTACTTGAAACTTGCATTTTGTTGGACTAAATCAGAATGGGCTACAAAACTGCATAACATTGCGTTTTATTAGTTTTAAATGGGCAACTAAAAAGTGTTGTCATAACAGTGACTATTTTTAATCGTGCGGGAGACAATTTTTTATACATTGGCGTTCAACTTAAGTAAAATTTTTGCGTAGGTTTTAAGTGTGAAAAGGCACATCCATTGAATATGGATTTGATTGTAACGAGTTCCGATTTCAGTACTAAAGTTCCTTTCCATAGCTTAAGCTAATAAGTCCAATTTTTATGTTGTAACAGCACAAAAAAAAAAATTAAGTTTCATTCCGTTTCTGCTGTTGCTTACATTGTCCAGAATCTTCTATAACAATGTGAGTGTTCACACCAGTCTGGTTATCAGGCTAAGGTCGTAATATTTTTATTTCAGATAACCTGATAACCAGACAAGTGTGAATAACCACAATGTTATCTTGAAATTCAACGAAGGATGAGCCCAAGCGCCAAAACTGCAAGTTTCCAAACAAGAGTTTAATTAATCAGTAGATACCCCTTGCTGTCAATACACCTACTAGAATTTAGAGCCTTGGCTTTGTAAGCCTAAGAAGATCGGGCTCGAGCGTGCCATTCCTGGCCAGCTCATTACTATGGCCTGGCATCCATGTAAGTCTGTGTCAGACANTTTGCATACATCTCTCATTTTATCTCAACTTTGTGGAATATATTATTTATTTTTGCGAGGCGATTGTGACAAAAAGGTAGCATGACCCGACTTTGAAAAATGTGGCGAAAGAAGTTTAATTAAAAAAATTTCACTGCCCGAGGATTCAAACCTCGGATCTCGCGAATGGCAAGCAAGTTGTCTGTTCTATACGCCATTGCGATTGTTGTTGCAACGCGAGCAAAATGACATACTTATTCCTTTCACATGTGATGACCCGACAGACTACCCCTTCAATTGGTATAAGCTGCTGCATAGTCGGACAACTGAAATTTCGTAGGACATCGCCATGTTAAAAAACCACTTGTTTGCATGGAAAAAGGTTGGATGACGAACTAGTTGAGCTGAAAAGTTAACTGGTTTTATTCTAGTTCAAACTAGAAACTTTCTCTACAAGGTACTAATGGATGCTGAAAGCAAACTCCGGCAGATTTTTTCGAGGTATGCTTTAACCGATTTGAGCATGATTTGGAGTGCCACAATAATTATTTCTTATATAAAATTTTGTATACGACACTTGAGAAGTGTTGATTATTCGTATATGCAGCTTTTCTGCAAAGACACAACCAAATTACTCAGTTTTACGTTTTGGTATGCGTCCATGCGCATGAACGTATATATGAATACATACATATATAGAAATACAGAGCGGATTACCGAATATGAATCGATCATAATTTATAGTGTTGGGCAGTATTGATACCAAAAGTACTCACAACTCGATTCAAAAAAGGATCGACAGAGCCCGATTTTTAAAAGTATCGATGCTGAGTACTCTAAAGTACTCAGTACTCACAAAATAACTCAAAAGTACTCAGTACTCACAAAAGAACTCAAAAGTACTCAGTACTCACAAAAGAACACGAAAGCACTCAGTACTCACAAAAGAACTCAAAAGTACTTAGTACTTAAAAATACTCTGTTCCAATCATTACGTTGATGTATGCGCTCAGGATCGATTCAAAGTATGTACC